TACATGATTAGGAGAGTAATTAAGATTAGATTAATCGATTATATCATCCTAGACAATTTTAGAATTGTATGAGACGATCTTTGAGAAAAACCTTAATCTTCTCCTAAATCTCCTGGACATCCTGAACTATTTACTGGACGACAATGTCTAATTTTGAACTAATCGTATAAGATGATCGAAGCATCATCCAGGACAATCAGTTATATTTATACATTGTCCTGATTTATCTCCTTGACATCCCGAACTATCTACTGGATGATAATATCTAATTTTGAACTAGTCGTATAGGACAATGTCCATATCATCCTGAATGATTAGAACAAACTTAGTGTCTTCATGCAAGTCTTTTATATGAACAAATAAAACTATCATTTTATTTTGTATTCATATTGTTAAAAGAAAATAAGATGCTTAAAATCTAGATTTAACTTACAACTTATAACAAATATCATTGTGTTCTGGATTTGGTATGGAATCATATAATTTCCAGACTCTCGTTCAACTTCCCTATAATAAGTACCCAATGCTTATTGAAAATTATGGGTTGAACAATAAGACTGCTTTCTTTAATAAAATCTAGATTAATGTGTTGAATAAACATTTTGAAATCTTGATTGTACCCCTTATATACCTTCAATAAGTTAGTAATATAAGAAAAGTAATGGATAAATAAATTATAAATAATTATTATGCTTACCTTGTATAATGGAGAAATTTATAAGTAGCATTGCAATTTCTCTGTCATTAGCCTACTCTTCTCTAAAAAACAAACAAAAGTATCTATATGGTTATTGCTGAACCATTGATTTGTGAGAAGACGTCAATATCTTCTCTGTTTATTGCTATATTACCAGAACCAAATATTAAGTCATCCCTACAAAAAAGACAAAAATTATAGCACAACAAAAGCACAACCAAAATGCAACTAAAACGTAACTAAAGTTCAAGTAAAGCGTAACTAAAACACACATAAATACCGTAATAAAGCGTAAATGGCTTAACTTACTTTTTATCAAACTTTCTGAAGCAATCATTCATAAAACTTTGCTGCTGAGCAGTTAGAAAATCCTAACTAGCGCAACTAAATATCTTCTTTGTTTATTGCTATGTTACCAGAACCAAATATTAAGTATCCCTATAAAAAGACAAAAATTATAGCACAACAAAAGCACAACCAAAGCGCAACTAAAGCGCTACTAAAGTGTAGGTAAAGCGTAACTAAAATACACATAAATACCTTAATAAAGCGTAAATGGCTTGACTTACTTTTTATCAAACTTTCTGAAGCATTTATTCATAAAACTTTGTTGTTGAGCAGTTAGAAAATCATTCCTTAGATATTCCATTAAATGTTGTGCAGGTTGAGATTGAATTTTAACATTATCAACAGAAATAATCTCTTTGGTCTTCATTAATACATCCAATCTTTCAGTTTGTTTATTGTCATTTCTTTTTCTTTTTTCTTTTTTGTGGTAGGTATTAGATGACCTGCTTGGAAGTATTATGTAATGGTTGAACTTTTTATGGTGGTGGTGGAAGAACATCTATTGTGACTGGTAGTGGAGGAACATCTGTTGTGGGTGGTGGTGGAGGAAAATCTTTATTGGGTGATGGTGGAGTAAAATTTTTAATAGGTGTGTGAAGGAAGATCTTTAATTGGTGATTTTGAATGAAAAACTATAGTTTTGGGTTTTCTTACTAATTGGATACTTGAAGAAGATGTAGATATAGAAGGTTTATCAGGATTATATTCACATTTAGTTTGATGATCAATGAATTTGTATTGCAGAGAATATACAATTGCTTTAACTTTTTCCAAACTGTCTTCAAGTTTATCAACTATGCTCTCCAAATTCTGTTTAATTCTATTACACATGTTTTGCAATGCTTCTAGGAGTTTATTCTGAACAATTGACTAATCTTCAACTTTGGCAAGAGGTGATTTAGTAGAAGGTTGAGCATGCAGCTAAGGAGAACTTTTAGGTGGTTTTTGATGAGGATAATAGGGAGAGGGAGGAGGAGGGGTGTGATTTGTTTTGTGGTGAATGAATTTTGCAGGGATGCTCATGACGCCAAATTTTTAAGTTTTGATCAGCATTTAAGTCAGCCTCAAAATTTTCAGCTTCTTCGTTTGTATCATTATATAGAACAAGATAAATCTGCAAAAAATATAAATATATTATTAGCAAATATCTATTTGAGCTTTAGTTGCGCTTTAGTTACTCTTTAGTTTTGCTTTCGGTTCGCTATAGTTGCGCTTTAAGTGCGCTATAGTTGCGCTTTACATGCGCTATAGTTGCGCTTTAAATGCGACTTTATTAAAATAAATAATTTAAATTTAGTCTTAAAAAGTATCTCATTTTTTCTCAAAAATTTAAATGATTTGGTAGCGCTTTCTTGGGTATATAATATTTTAGTGTTCCCATCCCATCTTAAAAAATACGATCTTAATTCTGGATTGAATGGTTTATTCAAGGAAAAGTATTCCAAAAATCAAATATGTATAATACCAAACATAAAACATTATAAATTAATATTAAAAAGCTTTATGAGAGAAATAAAAACTAATAGGACAGGAAACTTACTAGTAGGAGAGGAAAAAATCATTGATGTAACCAAATGGTTTTTCTATTTCAAGCTTGTCAGCAATTTTATCGAATTCCTCGACCATAAAATTCCTTATACATGAAGCCCAATTGATAGAAGAGAACTCAATTACATTATTTGCTACATATGTGAGTCTTCTAGGGGATTTATGGTTATTTAGTGGAAAAAAAGATTAGATAAAAAAAAATTATAAGTGTCTTTAACTTAGTAGCATTATAAGTTAATCTATCTAATTTTATCATTTTAGTTTTTATATCATCACCTCTGTTAGGCAAATATGTGAAAAAAAAATTATACATAATACATTTAAAATAAAAAATATATATACATAATTCCTTATTCAAAATCTGACATGTCAGCAAAACAACCTCGTCATAAGTGAATTTAAGTAAATGACTATTCACTATAAAACCTTCATCAACAGAATTCCAAAATTTCAGAATCTCAAAAAGAAGTGGTATACACTACTGGAATGCTAGAAATTTCAAAATTTTGATACATGTTCAAATTCCTCAAAGTCTGCTCAAGTTCTTTATCAATTATATCGACAAAAGCATTACAAATTTTTCTAAAAGTTGTAACATAGGATCGAGAAGTAATTGACATTTGATACAACAACTGAAAAAAAAGGAATTATAAAAGAATTATAAAGCGTAACTAAAGCACAATTAAAGCCCACCTATAGCGCACATAAATTGCATCTAAAGCTTTCACATCATAAGGTTTATTTCATTTACAAAGAAGGTTGAAATACATAAAATAAATATTTTAAGATCATATTGAACAAACACTAATATGTATGAAATTAACACTAAACCCTAAAAAATTAAAATATAACATAAACCGCACCCAAAGCGTAGCTAAAACACAACAAAGGCACAATATTACCTTTTCTTAAATGTAGTACTCCAACGTCATTGTCTACCGCCGGGAAGAAGGTATTGCATAACGTAAGGTATTGTAAAAGTCCGAGGATAGAGAGTGAGAGAGAAGTAAAAATGTCGAGTGAAAAGTAAAAAACGCTTCATTTTCATTCTTGTAATCCTGAATTCAAACCATCTCCAGGTTATTGGGTCAGGTCGATCAGGCTGATAAGGCATAAAGCAAAAAGATTATATTAAAAAAATTCACGTGTATTCATCCAGATGTTCGCTTTCTATTAGTGTCCGAATGTAGAGATAGGCCCGGTGACCAGAACTAATAATTTTCCCATGTTAAGAGATGTAAAGCAATAAAGTTATTTGAAAAAAAAACATCATATTTTAAGTTAAAACTGAATCATTTCAAATTTATTCATTATGAATTTCGAACATAATAATAACATCAACAAGAAGTCTTTATCCGGCTATGTGGGGTCAGCTATATACATATTTTTTCTCCATTGTGTCTTATTAAAGGTTAAATTCTCATCAAAATCCAATAAATAAAGGTCATTTCTAATATTATCTAATCAATTTTTTTATGTCAACCTCTACCTTTCTTAATATAAGTCAAATCTAATACATCTAATTGCCTAAATGCATTATCAGAAGGCCGCCGTTTTATGTGACCAAACCATCTAAGGTGACTCTCTTTAATCTTATCTTCCACCAGAACTACTCCGACCTTTTCACATATATGCATATTTAGTATCCTGCCTTTAAGAGTAAAGTCACTCATCCACTTGAGCATCCTCATCTCTGCAACACTTAACTTAATATTATGCTTTCTTTTAATGGCCAACTTTTTGCACCATAAGGCATTACAGGTCTCACTACCTTCTTATAGAATTTCCCCTTAATTTTAATGGCCAACATTCTGCACCATAAAGAATTGCAAGTCTCGCTACCATCTTATAGAATTTTCCCTTAATTTTAATGGCCAACATTCTGCACCATATAACATTGCAAGTCTCACTAACATCTTATAGAATTTTTCCTGAAGTTTGAGAGGAACTTTTCTATCACATAAAAAGCCCGATGCATTCCTCCATTTCAATCATCCAACTTGAATTCTACTAATAATATCCCCATCTATTTCACCATCACTCTAAACAATAGACCAAGATATCTAAAATATGTGCTCTTATTAATAGCTTGATCGCCCAAAGTCACAATCACCCCACTAGATTAATTATTACTAAAATAATAATAAATTAAGTTATTTTTCTCATGCAAAAAATAAATAATAAAAAACATATTTTCTATTATAAAAATCAAAATAATATATATATATATATATATATATATATATATATATATATATTATATATTATATATAATATATATATATATATATATATATATATATATATATATATATATATAAAGCTACACTGAAAGAAAAATAACACCCATGAGCTCTCCTAGTATGGCTTCACCAACATCAACTCAAAGCTCACAAAACATGGAAGATAAAAGAAATGAGGAAAAATAATTCATTTCAAGCTTATTTATTTGGTGAATATTACTAATTAGTATCTATCGAAGAGGATGAAAAGTCTTGATTCTTTGGAGAGCTCAATCAATTCTTGAGCATGAGAAAGACATTGGCAGATGCTTCAAGCTTGATATATCAAAAACCTCCATAAATCTCTGATCAGAAACCCTTGTTTTAGCAGCAGCAAAACGTTGATATTCATCAAATACTGATGTAAGACACCATCTCTGCAACTTTCTTAAACATCCTACCAAGCAACCTGTGCATGCTGAAATAAAGAACAAAAATTAAAAAAAAAAAATTTGCTTCAGGCTTTCAGCTTCACTAATAAAGATAATAATTAAAAAAATTAAAAAAAAAATACCTTCCCTCTTTTGCAATGAATTAGCAATGGGAGGTTGCGCACATCTGTAGGCAGAGCAAAAGAGTAACCCATTCAGCAAGACTCAGGCAAATGAAAACAATAGAATTGATAAATTGAAGGTCTGAATATTTCAATCAAAGTTTGATTAGAATGATTTTTAAAATTACCGTATTTATTTTGAGATGACAGTTATATATGACTAATTAATCAATTTTTAGATTGCACTCATCTTTAAGATATCTAAGATTGATTTTGTACCAAGGACGACTTTGAGAGCTTCGCGAATTGTGTCGTCCGGGATGTTCACAAAAGGTTCCTACAATGATGCATTAGATCAAACATCAAGAAAGTAATAATCATTGAGCAAGATGATAATTGCTATGTAAATAGCAAGACATGAAGAAATGAAGCACAGTTAAACGCATGGAGACTTTGAACAAAAATATAAATATAAAACTCAACATCTTTGGTACCTAAAATAATAACCATCACAAATTTTAACAAATTAGATATGACATACAGTGCATTTAGGGAATAAAAAAATCAAGCTTGGATGACTTTAGTGTTGTTCAGCTGTGCTCGTTCAGTAACAAAGCTAAATATTTTTATTGGGGTTTGACAATATATATATATATATATATATATATATATTATATATATATAATATATTATATTATATAATATATATATATATATATATATAAACAAAAATAAGTTGCTATTTAGATGAACACAGTCAAATAAGGTCCTATTCGTGCTTGACTCATTACAAAAACAAACTTATAAAAATAAGTGAAAATTGAGCTAATTATCGAATTGAATGTGACAAAACATGAACAATTTTTTTTTTTGTAACCCTAAGTGCAGTTGGAGAATGCAATCATCCTCAAAATATCAAAAAGCAAGGAATACTTGAAGGCTATTAGGGTTTGCTATGAACTTTCAGCAATAACACCATCAAATGAGAAAAATTTGTTCATAATTACAACTTTAGAAACCACTAGGCTATATATCAGGTTAGTGAAATTATTTTCTGCAATTCCAGAAGCTCAGTGCCGTTGCTTTTAAAAGCAAATCACAAATAGCTGGATACGGCTAATGATCATGACTGCTGCATTCTGGAAGGTGATCTTGATGTTGTTAGTTTTGAAGCTGAAGTCAGACAACTCTTAGCTTGAAGCTGTGTTTGGCGTATAATCAAAAGAAGGAAATGTCAGCGAGCAATCTGAGAGTATTATCATTGAAAAAAAATCCTCCAATAATCAAGTCGGTGAATATAAGAGGTGGCACACTACATAGAACTAGTATGAAAGTCAAAGGACCCACATGTTGACAATATTTAGGAATGGGAATAATGGTTTATTGGATCATCAAAAAGGAAAAAAAAATTAATAGGTGCTCGGAGCGTCGATTACAGAATACTGAACTACAAAACCTTTTAGTGTGCACTCACATTATCTGCAAATAGAATTATGTATATAGCATGCATCTAATAATTTCTCAAAGAACGGAGGAGAACTACAGTATCTAGGGATCCATTGTGGGAGAAAGGGCAGTATTAAAGTATTTAAATTCATAGAGCTCACTTCTAGAGTATGGAATTAAATAGAATAAAACAATTAAACTGAGGTCCTAGTCATAGAATTGTGCAGGGACTACTCAAGAATAGCTGAAAAACTATCTAATCGTTATCTGAAAAGCATGGATATGATTACTACACTCAACTTGTTCTCAAAATTTGTTCTGGACATAAAAAACTAATCCATTGCTGAGATTGGATTAGTCAGAATTGATTGAACCAAGTCAGCAAGTTTGAGCAATCAAACCCAAGCCAAGGTGTGCTTGGACTTTTTAGGCCAAAAAAGAACCATGGAGGCAACAAACTTTTCTTAGATGAAATAATGATGATCATATCATCTAAATGTATCAATGCGATGAGTGTGATAATGGCGATGGTTTTGAGATTCATTCAATATTAAGGAAAAAATAATTCTGCAAAAGAGATATTCTCCCTCAATAATTCCTGGCAAATATGGAATCCATTGTTCCTTGAGTTAAAAATATGAATCTTGCTTATTTAGAAATCAACACTGAGCAAGAAGGGTAGCTTCCATACTAAATTGGAGAGGAGAGATCATCTTGGGAATCTAGTTAAAAAGTCCTAGCATTTTCATTGGGCATGGAAGTTACCAGTCAGATCTACTGAATTCAATTTTTTTAGTGAAAGACACACGATCCTACTAACATACGAACTCTGAGGAAGTGACCTGAGAACATACGAGTGAATGGAGAGGACTGTCCCCTAAGAAGAATTTACAGTACAAGTGCTTAAAATGCCTGGATTTGAAAGACTTCAAAAGATCCAAAATGCTCATCTTCACCAATTATTTATAGAGATCCGAGGGATACAAAAAAGGCTATATAAAAAAAAATCAATGAATCCTAGACACGTGTCGCCTCTCGATTGGCTGAAACCAGAACGACACTGCATAGCCTTGATGATCTGTCCCTTGTCAAGTTCAGGAGTGTCGAGTAGGTATGGGTGAGTGTGTGTGGGTGAGTCCATTAGCGGGCACCAAATTGAAGGTGCCTATGACTAGTAGGTAACCTAAAGTTACCAATAACCTGAGCTTGAGACTTAGATTACTTAGAAAAGGAAGGAGAGTGAGTTGGTGTTTTGTGGAGGATGAGCTCCATAGTCGTTTGATTGCGACGGAGTGAGTTAAAAGCTCAGTGAGTAGGTTCTTTCATGTATTTAAGATTAGTGAGCTTGAATGAAGGCAGCCACCCTATATAAGGTAGAGTAGCTTTGATGATCAATCTTTCCTTCATGAGGCGAGTGGCGAGTCACATGATCTATGAAGACCTTTGATTGCCCCATAAGGAGCGATTTCCCTTTGTGTTTCTTGGCTAGTAGAATTTGATGATCCTTGAGTGAGCTCCTTTATGCGGCTCACTAGGTGTGAGTACCTGTCACAATGCCAACAACCTATGAGATACCAGAAAGGCATACGTGAGTATACATTTAGTTCTCCGATTCACTTACCATTTGATACATAAGCGACAAACATAGTAAGTGAATTAATAACAAGTATTAAATGCAACAACCGAACAATCATATGATAGTAAATGTGAAGTTACTGTCTTGTTTACTATAGATAGCAGCGTAGATTCCTTAATTATAATGATGATGTGATGTCACCTTACTTCGACCCCTCATAAGTAGAGGTTCCATGTTGGAGATCCTGTACTCCTTTGATCATTTGAAAAGCGTAATTAGGACTGACAAATACTATAAAAAATGAATCCTACTGAGTTAGCTTTATTGGGCATAAAATAATTAAAGAAGGCAACCTTTAGCCTGGGAAAAGCTGACAAGTTGAAGAAGAAGGAGAGTAACTCTCCATCGAGTAAGGAGGCTGAGGAAGGTGCACAAACAATACAAGGGTCTATTGAGCCTACCATTGCCCCACCTGCAAAAAGAGTGAAAGCCAAACCTGGGGCGATAAAGGCGACTTGATACCACCGACTGAGGCAACATAGACTAGTGAACCCTCCGTTGCTAGTGGCCATCTGGAGAAAGCTAAGAGACTTGATCTATCCTTATCCTTTGACGACGTCCCTCTTAGTATGAGGTTGACTAGTCAAATTTTCTTTAGCATGACCAGTGGATACGATGTGAACTGAGAAGGTGGTGTCCACTGATGTTGTGGTCTACGTTGTTCTAAGCAATCATTTCTAGTCGATGCTAGTAAGAAGAATAAAAACTATCTTTAGCATTTGCAGCAAGCCTTGCTAAGTGCATGGGTGCCCAATTTTTCAAAGCATTGCCTAAGCTTTTGGATTTTGAAAATATCCTCCATTATTAAATCTAAACAATGAGCAACATAAAGAGTCAAATAAATATGAGGATATTTGTATATCAAAAAATTTCCTTTAATATCATTAGAATTTATGTTAGCACAAAATATTTATTCTTCATATTAAATAATGTGGGTTTGGTTATGACTAACCTATGAAAATATTTTTAACTGCATTATCAGTAACACTTGGATCACATTATGTGGTCCAATAATCTCAATATACTTTCAAAATATTTCAAACATTTTCACAGTATTCTTGGAAAAAGAACTGACATCCATTGACTCTATAAATGTGAAACCTCTTGAACAATTCACAAAAAAAATTATTAAACTTTTCCCATTCCTTGATATTCATCCATCTGCTATTAGAGAACAATCATATCGTACACAATCTTATTGATGACGACATAATAGTTCATGTGTATATTCAGCCTCTTTCTTCAAACAAGTAACTCGTACCTCATGATAACTAGGAGGTTTCATTCCAGGTCCAAACTATCAAAGTGCTCGACTATAATAGAGAAACTGTCATATCTCACTGCATTAAATGGAATATCATCATCATACATTCACCTACAGAAAACTTGAATAGCCATTTCCCTTATTTCCTTTTTAGTTGTATCTATCTCTTTGCTAAATTAACCTTTTCTCCGCTTCACTACATCTTCAAGATTTGGTCTAAGATAAGTATCTAATGGTCCTTTGGGTCTTAATGATTTAAGAATTGATGCTGATGTTGAACTCTGACTAAAAACATTGATATACTTGTCGTTAACATTTTAGATGGATCAACGTCTACAATATCATCATATGTCATGGCATCAAAGTCATCTCCTTCATCAAGGTTGACATTTGAAGCGTCATTAATATGTTCTTTCAGATCCTTCTTCTTTAACATGGATGTCTTAATCTCAGCCTTAACATGCTCGGGGCAATTAGAGCAAGGTCTAGCATTTATGAAACCTCCAACAAGGTGTTAATTGTGGCATGTAATTCCTTCTTTTGTTATTTTGCACACAAAAAATGTCACAGTATTGTTATTGGCTTCATTACTCAATACTGCACATTTCTATGTTGGATCATTTTTTAAAGATTGTATTGAATCTGACATTTTATGATGACCTATAGGCAAGCAAATTCAAAATATAGTTGATATCAATTAAAAAAGTTACTGATGAATGCCAAATTAATTCTTTGAGCATGCTATCTGCTTTTTCAAAGAATCGGGAAGGATACTCATATAAAACCTAGCTCTAAAAAAGAGTATGTTTCAACTTAAAGATCTAAATGGCAATGAGAACCTAATATATGCCTCCAATTACTAGCAAGATCGGATCATTTACCACTAGCAATGCATATTCCATGCTAAACACTTGGCCAAAATTTGATACAAAGATTTGGTGAAATCATTGCCAAATCAAATTATCCTAGATTAAAAATAAAATTAATGACA